GGGGATTCCATGTCTGTTAAGAGGCTTTACAGGCTTCCCCGGCCTGTGTTTTCCCTAGCAAGAACAGAAATGCACCTTTGCCAACCTAAAAATGCATATATACAGGTACATACGCATATGTATGCATATATACAGGTACGTATTCTGGAACGTCCCCTTTTCTCACATCCCTAGAAGGTACTGTAGTAAAATTCACATTACTGTCACTCTGAAAACACACTGAGGTAATTCTTTTGGACCTCTTCAGAGGACCGCTTTAAAGACTTTGTTCTTCAGAGTCAGGCTGTTAAGGTTTTTTTCTACAGACACGGTGTGTAGATTTCTGTTGTTACTTGTGTACCTGTGAACGCTGTGCTTTATAAACAGGATAGATCATTGCAGATGGGTTTAAAGGACATCTTGTATACAAATTATTTGGTGGTTTGCCAGTCAACTTCATCTTTCTCAGAACTCCGCTACAGATCATAGATACATGGCGTATTGGTAAGTCATTTTCCCTTTCGATGTTTATAGCCACGTTTTGAAGTCAATACAGCTCAGATTGCTATGGATTTTAAAACACTTGATGGGTTTCCTAGCTGCCTTAAAGCTACTTGAGATCAGTTTTTCTTACTAAAAAAACACCCTTGAAGTTTGTAAGTAGCAATGGAAAATTATTTCAAGCACTGCTGTGTTTTGCTACCAGCTGCTATCAGCACAGTTATTTATTTGTTTGACTGATACAGGTTTTTTCCATGTGGATTTTAGGCTTCCAAGCCACTAATTTTTTCTAAAACTGTAGGTAAGTTGAGCTGTGATCTAAAACTGGTCATACCGAGCAACACATTCTGAAATGGAGAAGCTACCCGAGATCTCCATGGCACCTGAGATTCAGCCTTTTCTTCATGGAAAACCAATGGCAAGCAGAGAGAAGAGCATGACCAAAACCTATAATGAACACAATGAGAATTTTAAAGCATGTTTGGTAATCAAAGCCTTTCAGTTCTATATGTTTTTAACCTACTCCTGTGTTGCAAATATGGGGGAGTTCATGTTTGTCTGAATTATCCTGGATCTCAAGTGATGTCCAGCCAAAGCAGATGGGGAAAATTAGAAAGGTGGTGTGAGTTTTCCAGAGCGAAAAGTCTCCTACTGTCTCAGAAATGACACCCTCCAAATTGGTGGGAATCTTATGTGGATTACCAGCCATAGGCAATGAAAATATTGTCTTTCTTATGCCTTCGCAAAAATTTTTTAGCTTGCCAGTTCCTAAAGCCACATTGAAATGAAATTGTTGTATACTTGCGCAGCTGAAGAAACTCTCTAGGCATCCACACCGCCATCTCTTCTCCATTGGATTGAGCAGCATGCAGAGGGAAACAAAACAAATTCTGTCTTTAGTAAATTATGCAGCACTTTTTTGACATGCTTTATGCTGGTTTATTAGCCAAAATTGTATATACAGTGACTGTTCCTGGCATTCTGCTGATCTTCGCTGCACTTCTCATCACAGAAATCTCGGGGGGGAGGGGGGGGGGGGTAGAATAAGTGCAGTTTTGTTGAGACCAAACTGCAGTTTCATAATTAGCTGCAGAAACTTTCCAGGCTTGTCTTCATCCTACTTGCAGCCACTTGCTGCTTTCTCTCCTGCAGAAAGAAAACACAGAGCCCTGTGATACTGCATCAGAGGAGCTTTCCTTACCAGTGCCAATTCACACCAGCTAGGAAGGTGCCTATTAATCTGTCTGCTTCTCCCTGTCCTTTCATAGTTGACATATATTTCTTTTTTTTCAGGAAATAGTGATTTCGCTTTCAGTTAAAAATAACCGCTTCCCAGACCTGGCAACTGCATAATCTGCAGTTGTTCATCTGGGCGTTCTAAACGACGGAAACAGGACTCCACTGCTGGGACCAGGCTTTTGGTCTTTATAATACAGTCACTCTGCCGATACTGTAGTTTCATCCGTAATGTATGTCCCATGTCAGAACTGCACATAAGGCACGGTGGCATTGTGAAGTGCCTGAGCAACCTAGGATTTTAACAAATTACAGTAATTGCATTACAACTCAAAAAATTAGCAATGCATATTTCAAAGTTCTGGTATCCAGAATATATAAAACTTCTAGTTCATTAAAAGTTTATGATGATTATTGCAAAATCCTAATACCTTGTATGTCCACAAAGCAGCTCTTTGAAAGGTGGACTGTCTTTTTTCTGGCATCATTGTTTTGCCACATTTTCAAGGTTTTATTTCCCATTCTGGAAAAAACAGAATTAGAATGAGGATCGTTTAGCTGAACATAAAGCTTTCAAAATATTGCTAACTTCAAATCAGGGCTAGGTACTTTTCTAAGGTAAGTTTTAGTCTAAGTCAAATTATTTGCCTAATCACAGAAGAAAATGGATAAACTTGAGCGCTTTTGTTCCGTAAGGTGGTTAAATCATTGGATAACTTAATGGTATTCAGCCTATGAATTTGTGGAGAAGTATGATCTTTAAATGCTGATGTGTTTCTCATTACTGCTCTTTAAACACTTTAAAGACCAGATTTGGCCAATCTTAAAATAAGGTTACTATTTAGTATCACTAATCAATTTTCAAACAAGCCTAGAAGGGGAAAAAAAGGAAATTAAGTTGGAACAGTTGCCCTTTGGGATGGTTTAAGAGTTCTTGTATTTTACCGTTCACCAAAGTGGTAGTACTGTATACTTTGCTTTCATGAAGTTCTGTTTGAAGTCTGAGTTATAGCTGTTTGCTCCGTGCATTTCTCAGCAATGATAATTTTCGTTTTCTTTTTAAATTTCCCACTTGTATCTAAACTTCTTGTGTCATTTGCCTATGAGCCTAGATGATGCAGTCTCTAAAGCTGTCCCAGAATACAACTGAAGGGAGGAGGAGAATTTTGTACATTTATCGTGCGCAATGGCTTGCACGTGGATAATTTATTAAATAACTTTGCTAGAGCTCTATCAATTTGATATTTCATTGGCTTCCAAAACCAGTTTAAGCTACATAGCTTCCCCTGCCAATTTTCTTGGGACTATAACAGTATTATATTTTTAATGTTGGTTTTTTTTTCTGTAGTTATGGAAAAGAATTCAGTACAGATGCTAAAAACATTTGAGAAGATGTAAGATGTACTAGAGGAGGGAAGGGATTAGGGGAATTTTAAGCTTCCTTCACCCCCCTTTAGCAGCATCTGAGGTACCATCCACCCATAAAGTTAAAGTGAGTCAAAGGAAAAAGAGGAGCAGGAGGGTGGAGAGAAGGCAGGAAACATACCATCATGCGTTATTCAAGCATCTAAAAATTTATGTCTAGCCAGCACAATACCGTGCTGCTTAGAAATTCCCAAACTACCTGCGAGTTAGTGGTCTGCGTAGCTGGGGCCAGTGAGGTGCGCTGGCTTGAATTGCGATACCCCAGTTAGAATGGCACTGTTCCCACCTTAATCAGTCAGCCAGCTAATTCAGCGCTAACTCAGGTATTTCTGCACAGTGCTGCATTGCACAGTGCAAAATGCCGTTGTGGCTGTATGTGCAATGCAGTATGACTGACGGTTACACCAAGTTCTGCCAAGGAGGACCAAAGTAATTTAATTTCCTTCGATTATAATCCATTTAGATGTAACATATAGCAGAAGTAGCTTTAAAAAAAAAATGAACAAAATGTTTTAAATAAACAGGGTTTCTTAAAGGCCACAGGACATTTTTTACATATGAGCGCAAAAATTGTAAGTGCACAGATTTTTTAAGCACTCTTAAACTGTGGTATCTTGTATCTACTAAAATAACATGCTTCCTCCCGCCCGCCCTGAAAATCTCATTAAAGCTAGTTCTTCAGCAAAATCTTCATGGCTACAGACCCAGTTTATTAATATTTCGTGGGTTTGGATCAGACTAGTCAGTAGAATGAAACTCTGTGCATGTTAATTAAGCCTCATTCTCAAACCAGATGCAAAATACTGATTCTTAAGTGAGCAGCAGTTCTGTCCCAAACCGAGGTAGTAAGCAGTGTTTTGCACTGCCAAGATGAGCACTTTGACAACTTTAAAGCTTTATTATGAAAACACATTCAAGGCAAAGAGGTAATTGAAAACAACTGTTGTTAGGAAATTCCTTGTATCTGTTTCTTAAAGCATGAGTACTAGGCCAATACACCCATTCTTTCCTTCTCAGCTGCTTTCAGGCATTTGAAAAGAAAACATGATTCAAAGAAAATGTGGTAACCAATAAAGATTGATGACTATTAGGTCTGCTCAGCAGTAGAGATTGCCTGGCAGTCTCAGGATCCTTCCTTTCCCTGTGGAACCTGAGCTGTGGGGGTGTGTTTTGCTGTTTCTTCGTACCGTTGGAGGTATTTGTACCTACCAACAGAAGGGGTTCATCTAGGCTGTTGGAAATGAAATGAGCGTCAGGTAGTGGTCTTGAGGATGTAGTGATGTTTCCTTTTAAGCACTCTCATGCAATGCATTTCTGTTTTTTTCAGTTCTACCAATGCTTATTCTGTTCCTCTACTCCTTACCCTGTTATCCTAATTTGATAATTCTATGAGTGTTACTGCAAGTATCCTGCAATGTTACCCTGTCTTGACCCTCTTCTTTCAGCACTAGGTTTCCTTAACTCTGCTGATACTGAGGCCTGCAGCTCATTCTTGCTCCTCCTGCTAAGTCTGAATCATGTTCTGTAAGCCCTGTAATACTGTGAAAGCAACTCTGTAGTGCTGCTTAGTCCTGATCACCTCCTAACAGCAACAATATGGCCACATGCAGAAACCTCCTTGTTCCCTGCCACACCTTTATTTTTTGTCTCAATTCACCAATTAGCCTATTTTCCCTTTCAGGTTCTGCTGCCTCCTAATGCTGGGACATAAGGTCTAGATGTCAGCAGAATAGGTGAGAGTACTGAGGCAGCTGTGGGTGGTAGGGATGTCTTCTCTCTCTCCTTCTCTGGGAAGGACTTAATGTTTCTTAAGTAGAACAAGGAATCCTGCCTGTCACTCACTGTTTGCTTTTGTCAATGTCTCAACTTTTTTATGACCTAAGTAGCTCTAATGCAAATCAGCATTCGAGTAGAAGAAGAAAAAAAAAAAAAAAAAAAAAAAACCAAAACCCAAACCAATAACCTTTGTTTCTCAGCCTTATTTTGTTTCTTAATGTGTTCTGATAAAATCATGCAATTTGTTAGCAAGAACTCTCACCAAGCTTACAGCTTTATGTTACGAAGTTTGTAGTGCGCCCACCTCTGTCTCTTCTAAGCAGAAGAAAGAGGCAATGTTGATGCTGGCAACATTACTTGAAGTCTACCTCATATAAGTAGCTGTTGAAGTCTGTTCTTCCTAGCCTGGATAGGTCAGCTCACATGTCTTAGCCAGCCTACCTGATGGGTTTGGCTATGATGCAGCGGGAGTGAAAGAGGATATCTGTGTCAAAGCAGACCAAACTATGCTTAACATCAAGCTGGATATGCTCACAGTGCAAGGCATGAGTGTGTGTGCAGAGATGATTTCTTGCACCTCTGCTGGCTGAACTCTGTGGACTGTAAGTTAATGGAGTCATGACCAACTAAAGCAGAAATGCAAGAGCAAAGGGAAAGGGATATCAGAAATACACAGGAGCAAGATTGTCTTCTGTTGCTCCAGAGGCTGTTGTACTTGCATGCCAGCAGCTGACATTTCAAGTTTTTCTCACTACCCTTCTGATCCATTCCCACCAGCAATAACAATATTACTTAGAAAACCTCAAAATAGAAATATGGTTCCTGGGAGAAAATTGTTATCCTTCTTTAAGGGCCACTTCAAAGTTCCTTAGAAGAAGAAGCCTGACACAAGAAGGTTACCTTGCACTAGCAGTATGTAGTTAGTGCTTGCCAACCTTGCTTGAACCTCCAGGCTGGAAAGGCCTATGTCCTTGGGACAGAAACTGAAGTAAAAAATCCCTGAATCTCTGACCTGCATTTCCTTGTTGGCCTTGCAAAGGCTCATAGCTTGAAATTTTTACATTGCCTCCCAGCTCATGACATCTTCATGTACAGGCACCAGATCTGACCAACTTCTGTCACTGAAGTCCAAGTTTCCACTAAGAAAGAGCTCCATTTAGGCCTGGGAGAGGGCAACCTGGATGATACTCTGAAGCATCACCTCTCAGACCCAGATCTGAGGCCAAGGTCTCAGACCCTGCAGGCTGTAGTGCAACAGCAGGCTAGAGCCGCAGGAAATTGAAGGATGACTAAGGACTTCGCGTCCACTGGCTTAGGTCTTTAACTCCTCTTTATGAGAAGGAATTATCCTAATTCACAGGCTTCAGTACTGGGGATTAACAGTTAGGTGCTGCTGCCCTTGCCA